CTGGGGCTTTTAACTCTGCATTTGGTTCTGTGTTTCTTATCTAATAAAACCATTCAGAATTACATCTACACTGCTCATTATTTTATTGAATTTGAATGAACTCTGCGGCAACTGACCTGACATTTTCTCGGCATTTTCTTTGACTGTTTCGATGTCATTTTGTAAGGAAAGAATGAGTTGAGCATGCTGTGCACTCCCTGAATTCTTGTACTCTTCCCAATACTCCTTTTCACTGAGTTTCTCAAGAAACAGCTTCTCAGCATCATTTATTTGTAAGCGCATTTCTGTTGGAAAGAAAAACAAGGCACATGTCATTTCTGCCATCCTTGGAACCGTTCTATAGTACAGTCTGTTTTCACCAAGTTAAGGCCTGGTGTTAAAATGCAATTAATTCATAAATACTCTATGTGCAATTTTGGGAAATCAAAATGATTAAAATGATTAGATAGCCCTCATGACAAATCTAAGTAAAATGAAACTTTCAACTCTGTAGTAGATATATGGTTTAGGACTTTGTAAATGAAGGATTATATATGCCTAGGAACCTACAAACTTCAATCTATGATCATTTCATACGGGTCCCTGTTGGTTCAAGTCTTCATGTCTTATGATAGCTTTGTGAAAATGAGTTTAATATTTTATTTTATGGTGTATGGCTGTTTTGCCTGAATGTATGTCTGTGCATCACATGCACACCTGGTACCCAAGGATGCCAGATGGCACCAGATCCTCTGGGACTGTAGTTATGGATGGTTGTAGGCCACCATGTGGGTGTGGTGAATTGAATCTGGGTCCTCTGTTAAAATACAGGCAGTGCTCTTAATTGCTGAGCCAATTCTCCAGCCCCCCTATAATTTCTTATGTAAAGTGGCTTTTTCAGTCATTAATGCCTTTGGGCAAAAATAATTTCAAGTCCTTTGCAGGAGATAACCTTGAACTTCTAATCACCCTCCCCCCCCACTACACACACACACACACACACACACACACACACACACACACACACACATACATACACACACACGCAGGGCTAGGATTATGGGAACGCCATCATGGTCAATTTTGACAGTCACTTTTATCAGTTGATTGTTTGATTCAGTCATTGCAGTTTCAATTTTTGGCTTTTCTTTTGAGAAATGCTAGCATACGACAGTCAGAAACATGTCTTCTCCCATCTCCCACACTGCCAGACTGCAGAGTGAAAGATGAAGTCCCGATGAAATAGGTGCAGATCCTGAGCCATAACCTTCTTGGCCTTGCTAAGCATGATGTTTTATTCGGTTCATAGGCCCAAGTATAATATCGTGGAAAGTCTGCATGTAGGAAGCAGTTCTCAGAGCCACATAAAGAACCTCACAGTGGCTTGGCTCACTCCTTGCATTGCCTGGTTTGAGAGTCTCTTGAAGGCTACACTATACTAATCGTGTCTGCAAAGCCCGCCTTCTTAGACCTGGCAGTTAGCTTGTTGGCTCAGGAGATGTTTATTTACAGGATGCCCTGAGTCCAGAGATATACATAAGATCATAAATCCCCTAAATGGTTCCTGTTAACATCATTAAATGGTTATGAAAACCAGACAGGCAACTATCCTACCATTTGGCAGACTGCTACTACTGCATGAATCTATGCTACATTTGGCTCTTGAGGGGAGGACGGTAGATGTCATCGAAGTTTGATGAATATGCCAGCTGGCTTACTTTGATTTCCTTTCCCCCCTTTTTTTCTAGTAACAAACACACAGATATGCACACAAGCTTATACAGAGATTTTTTTTTTTTTTTTTTAAGGGAAATCTGAGACCTGATAGACAAGAGATCCTGGATACAGCCAGGCAGCATTTGCCCTTTCTGTGGTTTGCTACTGTGAAGAACACCCAGCTCAAGCTGGACTTTTAGCCACTTGAACATGTTCTAGCTAAAAGCTGGGAGGCAAAGGCTCCAGCAGTGCCTCTCAGATCTTCCTGTGCACCAGAGATCCCTGGAGCTTGTAAAACAAAAAAAAAAACAAAAAACAAAACAAAACAAAAAAATGCAGATTCTGCCATCCAAGTGCTAACCAGGCCCAGTTCTGCTTAGCTCCCAAGACAAGACTAGAGTGGGTGCATTCAGGGTGGGACGGCCATAGTTCTCCACAGCTGGCTTCTGGTGGGGTTGGGGTGGGGGTGAGGAGGGACTCTGTTTTCCTTAAGGGGCTGGCCACTGGGAGTTTGACTATGCTTCAGTATATGGGCAACACAAATTGAACTAGGCTTCTTTTTTATTGTTGCTGTTGCTTTGTTTTTGTCTTCTTTTTGGGGAGGGGAAGTCACAAGGGTGTGTGTAGGAGGACAGACCTGGGAGGACTGAGAAGTGAGTGTGATCAGAATGCATGATGTGAAGTTACCAAATAATCAATGCAAATATTATGTTGGAAAAAATGCAGATGCTGATTCAGCAGGCCTGGGTGGGGCCTAGGAGTCTTTGATTCTAAGAAGTTCCTTCATGAGCTATGGAGAGCTGTTCTACCTCAAAACAAATTTCTTGCAAGGGACTGCCTGGCATGCATGTAGCTATCACAGAAGTTCTTTCCTGAGGCACTTGCTGTCTCCCTTTCTCTCTCTTCCTTCATCTCTGTGGCATTCCTTATTCTGGAAGCTTTACATGTCTTGCCTTCCCTCTCTTCTAGGAAGTCATGCATCTTGGCCACCGCTTAGTATACATCCTGTTTTTTTTTTGTTTTTTTTGTTTGTTTTTTTTTTTATGTCAACTTGATATAAGCTAGAATCATTTTGGAAGCGGGAACCTCAATTGAGAAAATGCCGCCACCAGACTGACCTGTGGGAAAGCCTGTGGTATAGTTTCTTGATTGATGATTGATGAGGAAGGGCCCAGCCCATTGTGGACTGTGTCATCCCTGGGTTAGTGGTCCTGAGTGGTATGAGAGGTCAGGCTGAGCAAGCCATGAGGGGCAAGTCAGTGAGAAGCACTCTTTCACGGCCTCTACTTCAGTTCCTGCCTTGCGTTCCTGCCCTGCCTTCCTTCAGTAATGGACTGTGACCTGAGAGCTGTAAGCTGTAATAAATGCTTTCCTCTCCAAGTTGCTTTTTATTGTTATGCTTTATCACAGCCATAGAAACCCTCAGACAGCATGGCACCCCGTGCTTTGCCCCTCCATACTAACGGGTGCACCGCAACTGGAGCCGTGGCCAGAAAGGAACTTAGCCAGAGCACCTTGGGCAGCCACTGTGACGTCATTGCCAACTCAAGGGAATATTGTCAAAGTGGTTTTGGAAATGCCAGCAAGAAGTGTAGAATGAAATAATGGGGAAAAGAAATGCACATATCAAAATTATGCGTGTGAGTTACCAGAAGGGTCACATGTTTCCAGGGGTAAGAGTATGTCTTGTGTCTTCTATTGCCATCCCTAGAATCATTTCCCTTTTCCCTAACTCCCCTTTCCCAATTCTAAGCTCTCTTTCTCCAATCCAACATGGGGGCTTAATTCCATTAGACTGGGGAAGGGATGTCCATGATTACATTCACTTTATCATGCCCAAATCAAAAGCAAAGGTGAGGTCAACGAAGCCCTTCAACAACAGAACTTCAGACAAAAGAACACCCCCTGGGAGAGCTCAGAGCTCAGGACACCGGTGGGGCTGGAGGGCAGCCTGGCTCTTTTGCCCTAGTCCTCCTCCTCACTGGGCCTCTGCGCATGTCATTCTTTCCTTCTCCTGTCTGTATCCCTGGAAGGACTATGGCTGTGGTAGAGATGACGTAATCGGAAATACAGTCACAACATTTTGAACACACTGAAAGACAAAGGCACAAATGAATACAGCATTCACGATAATTTCCCAAGCTTCTAACTCACCTTTCAAGTTTTTCTCCTGGTTTCTTTCAAACTCCCATTTTTCCTTCATTGCTTCCTCAACGTCTTCCCTTGTCACGATCGGGGCTCCTTCTGACTTCTCCTCGGTCAGCTCTTTCAGGAGGTTCTTTATGTGCCATTTCTGTTCTTCTTTGAGGCGTCTATTCTGTTGTAGACATCAACGGTGGTTAAAGACGTCTGCTCAGCTATTTACACCGTTTACCCAGAACACAGACATGCACTGAGGCTTGCGAAGGGGGAAGACACATTCACTTAACTAAGGTAAGCAGTGCTGCCTCTAAGAGCTTACAGGACATGTAAAATTCAAAATAAAATAGACCAGTGCAATAACCATCAGTAGAGTGCTGCGTCTTTAAGAACATGCTACCAATTTTCCAGTCCCTCACCCTCCCACGGGCTCCACAGACATTTAAACCAAATCTTGGAGCTAATTTTTTTGAACCTCCCATCAACCCTGCTCTTCTCAAGTCTCCCCAATTTAGCCATCTACTGTGTGTGAGGCTGTGTGCTGGGCACGTGAGTGATATCATTAACAAAACAGAAAAAAGTCCTGCTGTTCTGGAAACTCTATTGTTCTTTGCTCTCATCACAAACGACCCTACTTCGTTCTCTTCTTCTAGGATAATGGTTATTCACCATTCCAGACTTTATGCTGGAAATAAAAGCCATGTTTGTTTTTTTTTTTTCCGAGACAGGGTGTCTCTGTGTAGCTTTGCACCTTTCCTGGAACTCGCTTTGTAGACCAGGCTGGCCTTGAACTCACAGAGATCTGCCTGCCTCTGCCTCCCAAGTGCTGGGATTAAAGGTGTGCGCCACCACCACCTGGCTGACCATGTTATTCTTTGTGGGTGTCTGATCCACGCTTCTGAGATGTATATCTAACTGACTTAAAGTTTATTCTTGCCATTGTTGTCTTACTGTGCATTTCAAGGAATCAAAAAAAAAAACAAAAACAAAAACAAAAAAACGAGATAATGAACCACACACTAACCTGCCCTACAGTAATTACCAATGTGAGTCTTTTATGTTGCAGTCAGTGGTACCAGGAAATGACTTGAATTCATGAGAAAACACAGGAGTGGCAATATAAACAACCGCACAGGTAAATCTGAAAGTTACATAATTATACTTTTTGAAATTACTTTATTTTAAAAACTTTGTAGTGTTACAATAAAGATAGACCTACATTTCATTACCAACCAATCAATCACAATTTGTAAAGTGTGTTTTGTATGATAGTACATCTGAAGAGGGAGGGAGAGCATAGAGCAACCTCTTTGTATGTTATTGAGATTGAGTTGGTATTAATTTTAACTAGATTACTATGAATTGGGATGCTAAATAGAATCCTCAAGAAAGTCACTAAGAAAACAACAAAATAATAGTTAAAAGGGTACACTAGAAAACGTGTAACACAAAAGTCGGCAATGGGAGAAGAAAAGTAAAAAAGAACCTGAGACAGGAAACAAAGAGCAAAAGGTGGGTGTGGTGGCACACGCCTGTAACCCCAATACTTGGAGGGTGAAGGGAGGAAAGCGGTTTTTCAGTCCTGACCACCCCGACATAGGAGGACAGGTACTGACCAGTGGAGAGTGTGCACTAACTAGCCCCTTTGAAGGCAGCCCACCTTCCTTCATGCATGGGATCACACAGTGTGGGACCTCAGATAGATTGGCAAGGCATCTTTTCACGCTCACTATCCACCTGTGCCTGTTTTAATCCTTGCTACAAGTACTGACCACTGTAACGACATCAGAGTCATGGGCATACTGCCAGGAGCTTGTCAAGTTCCACAGATCAGTGTGGTTTGAACAGGAGCTCTCATTTTATGAGAGGGAAACTGAGGCTGATGCCAGATTTTGCCAGAAAGATGCCACCAGAAGGTCATACAGTCAGGATGCAAACTCAGGACTCTGACTCCAGAGTCCATTAAAATGTAAAGATACCGCCTTTAAAAACAAAACTTCAGCCAGGTGTGGCGCACATGTATAATGCTAACATTCAGAAGGCTGGGGCAGGAGAACCATGAGTTCAAGGCCAGGCTGGGCGGTATAGTGAGATTTTGTATGGGGTGTGTGTATGTGTGTGGGTGGTGGTTAAACAAAAAAGTCAAATAAAACAGTTAACTGTGGAAATTTCCAGACCATGCAAAGTCAGTCAGTGAAGGAGGTGTGTCTTGTTTCTCCTTGTGGCTGTGATGTCCGGGGGCACAACTTGGGTTCATTATCATTTTCCGCTTACAGATATTATTATTTCTGTTGTTATGGACACAGCCGGCATCCTTTTGTTATTCATATTAATCTTATTTTTAAACAGTTTAATTGCCATGTATGTATGTATGTATGTGTACGGATGCATGCCACGGAGCATATGTAGAGATCAGAGGACCATTTGTAAGTCTGTCTGTCCACCATGTGGCTTCTGTGGAACAAACCTGGATTGACAAACTTGGTAGCAGGTGCTTTTACCTACTGACTGAGCTGGTGACCCTCAAACTGACTTTTACAGAATAATCTTTAAGTATCCCATTAGTGATTTTAACAGTTGGGATTATTATTGTTCTAAATGCATTTACATGTGCACACTCTGGGAAAAGCTGAAACTAAGATGGAAAAGAGAGAAGCGGTGTTTTACAGCTTGGATAAACAAGGATTCCAAAGGTAAATGTGATTTCTAGGGTGTCTGTCCTCATGATCTAAGGAACATGATTGAACTGACTCCCACTGGCATCCTCGATACCATGGGAACAGTAGTACCTGCTTGCCTCACATGCAAGACATTCCATCATGACTTACCATGGTTCAGGCATACATGCTCAGTGCCTGCTTACCGTCCAAAATGACACTCACCCTGTCTTGGTACCTTTGGTTCCTGTCCCTCAGCTTCTTGATCTGAAACATGATTCGTTCCACTGCATTCTCCTTTATCTCACGACTGAGAAAAAATGAAGATGTGTGGGTTAGTTCCCTCGGGGAAAGGTAATGAAGCTACATTTTAATTTTAAACTAAATTACCAAATACCTTAAAAAACTGATTTAGGGATAAGACTCTCCTCTATGAGATTTTGTCAGGCTTTTGTTTGTTTGTTTGTTTTTGAGATGGGGATCTCACTATGTAGCCCTGACTGACCTTGGACTCGCTGTGTAGACCATGTTGGCCTTGAACTCGGAGAGATCTTGCCTCTGGCTCCTGAGTACTGGGATCTAAATAGAGCTAGTGTTTTTCACCTGTTTAATTCATTAAAATATACATTGGGTGAATACTAAGCTTTTAAAAGAAGCATTCCTGTTTTTATTTCATAGATGTAATTTATGTTTTAATTCTCTATAATCCAGCTTAAAAAAGGCCTAGGAAAGAACACACAGAAAACATGCTTTCTAGATGTTCTCATCCAGAGATGCCTCTAGAATTCTAAAAGCATTCAGACAAAAAATAAAAGACCAAACAAGATTGTCCGAGGCAAACACATCTTAGACTACTAGGGTAACCTGGGCATGCCCACCAATTTATGCTTGTTACTGTGTGTTCTTCTCTAAGGATTAAAACTTCTCTGTCACAAATCATTTGTTTAGTACCCAATAAGTATTTGTTGACTACCTGTCCATGTGAAAAACAGAGCAGGAAGGCTCAGGTACAGGAAATCAGAGTCAATGGCTATTTGAAACGCTTGTGCATTCTGTATTTCTGGAAGAGAGTACATCTTGGAACTCTAAGCTTGAGACTAAAGTAGGCTATAGAAATCACTTCACCCAAATTCTCCGTTTTAGTTAAAAAATGAAGTACACAGCTTTACATCTTGCTTCTTACCATTTCTTGCCTCTTTGGTCGCAGGCAAAGCAAATCTCAGGACTAAAATCTCAAGCTGTCAGATAAAGAAAGCCACACCCAGCTCTATGTATTATTATGGGGAAAAATAAGAAATCACACATGAAGGATGCATTCAGTGAGTGCTCATAAATTCTTGTTGAATCTGCCATGCTATCGGCACTTTCTCCAAAATCTCATTTATTTTTATGACCTTGTATACCTTAGGAGAGAGGAAACTAAGGCTCCTTCCCTCCACAAGATGAGAAAATGAGAAACAAAGGTAGCAAATCACACAGCGGCCCTCCACAAAAAGACACCAATTTGAGTACCGAGAATGCCGATTTAGCCCTGCCTCGCCATTGTCTGCATAGTGCACACAACCGCTTTGGCCTTAGCTTACTCTTCTATAAAAAAGATTAGCAGTGGTAAGATGCCCACTGACAAGCCAAGACTGACAGCCTCAGTCTAATCCTGAGACCACAATCACATGCTTGTACACACACACACACACACACACACACACACACACACACACACACAGACTAAATGAATGTCTAAAGAAAGATCAAAGGAGATGAACGCCATAGCTCATCGGTTTCAAACCGCCACCATTTCTGCTCCCCTCTGTTCCCCTTCATGCCACCACAGACTCAATGGCTGCCACTTGGCTCCGCGCTGCTTTGGGAATTACAGAGATGGTTTAGAGCAAGGCCTTCATGACTCTTGTCTTCAGGGAGTGCAACTTACTAGTTATGGAGCAAATAAGCACACAAGCACTGTTTACACATTGGGATGAGGACTATGTGGGACTGGGAGACAGAGTAAATGGAAGGGCTGCCTTCTACCCAAGAGGGGGGAAAAGCCTCTGGCTAAGCAAGGCTTTTACTTCTGATAAAAGAAGTCATTTCTCCCCATCTCTTGTCTCCTGGTGTACATGTGTGTGTGTGCATGTGTGTGTGTGTGGCGGGGGAGGTTAGCAACAGAAACCAGGACCTCATTCATATTACACAAATGTTCTACCACTGAGGTATACTCCCAGCTTTCTAGCTCTCATTTTTATGGATAAAAAATGAAAATATTATGCTACTTGCACAATTTTGGTAATATGGGAATAGACAGATCTTAAGTATGTTGTCTCCACTGGTTGAGACTGAGTCTTTGATGAACTTGAATAGAGTGACTCCACGGCCACAGCTAAGAACCTTCCTTGGTGATGACTGAACAGTCAATGGGCAGACTAGAAACCACATCCACCCCAAGGCAGGTCCTGCATAAGATATACATAGACCAAAAACATTCTTTGTTCATCTGAAATTCTAATTTAATTACTCAGCTTGTATTTTCATTTGTTAGAGCTGAAAAAGCCTACAGTTTTTACTCTGAGCATTTAGGAGCAAATGGTGGAGGGCTTGGTGTCCCACTCATCCTGCAGTGAGCAATGTTGATGACTGATTACTAGCCACAGTTCTTAGAGAATTCCAAGTTGTTTTCTGCTTCCCTGGCCCCCTTGTATAGGTCATGGCAATTGCAGGTCTAACTTTGACTTTCCTCAGCTTTCTGAAGAGGTGGGTTTACTGGGAAGCATTAAAAGTTAACTGCAGAACCCCACACTCTTGGCTGTTAGGTGGAATTGTCTTCGTTTTTCTAATTCTTTCCTTTTTTGTATGTCCCCCACCAATGCCTTAGCATCTTATATATCATGCTGAGGGCCGGAATGCCTGGGCTGATAAACCCATACATATTACAGTGATTTGTTTTTTCAATGCAGGGTTTCTTTGTGTAGCTGTGGCTGTCCTGGAACTTGCTCTGTAGACGAGGCTGGCTTGAACTCAGAGATCCATCTGCCTCTCCTCCAGAGTGCTGGGACTAAAGGCATACGCCACCATGTCTGGCTTTTAAGTGATCTTAAAAAGGCTCAGTTTGACTACAAAGCATAGTGGTATTATGTGCCATTTCCCTCCTATGTAGTTAAATGTTATAGGTGTACAAATTTTTTTCCTTGAAAACAAATCTTAGAAAAGATTTATTTAATTTGTCTTTATGCATATGGGTATTTTGCCTGCATGCATGTCTGTGCACCACTTGTGGACCTGATGCCTGTGGAGGTCAGGAGGGCTCTGCTCCCCTGGAACTGGGGTTACAGATGGTTGTGAGCCACCATATGCATGCTAGGAATAAAACCCAGTTCTCTGGGAAAACAGCAAATGTCCTTAACCTCCACAGTCATCTCTCCAGTCCTAAGAAACATACATTTTTAAAGTACAAGTAGTTTTATTCTATATTTCATCCAGGGTGTATTTAAAAATTAGTGTGTCAAAATGAAGAGTTTGAAACATCATTTTATTAAAATATCAAATCAGAATTTCAAAATGTTCTATACTTTTCTATATATTTTTAAAATTCATAATCATATAACCATACCCAAACCTATTCAGCTACTTTCATTGTAGAAAGCCAAGGAAAAAGTGTAAGGGAGGAAATAAAAACTATCACTAGAAACCATCACTTCTTGGCATCTTCAGTATCTGCTCTTCAAAAAGTCACATTCCAGGGAAGCTAGGGCCCTATCGTCATTTTGTGACAGAGTTCCTGTGTGCATGGGACTGCCTGATCCAGGGCTGTGGTAGGTAGCCTCTGCTTTTCCTGTGTATGCTCACCAATGGGTGAGAAATCACCTGGTTCGTGGCAGGCATTTCAACACTCAGTTGAGCACTTCACATTTCTATTCCTATATTGATAGGCAAAGCGGTATCTTAGTTTTAACTTCATGAGTGTGATTTTTGCACCCGAATAAGACTCAACAGTGGTTATTACTCAAGGAAGAAGCGCTGAGTTTACACTAAGTAACAGTTGTGCTGGGTGTTGCAGAGACAGAAGATTAAGTGTTCAGAATTTGTTGAAGAAGAACCGAGCGGAAACCACTTTCCAGTGTTTGCCTTCATCTCAGCTCTAAGTGTTTAAACTACCTGCTCCACATAAAAACAAACCCACAAACCACCCATTCAAATAATCTTTGGTTTCAAAATCTTTATTTGTATTTTCTGTTTTTTAAATCTACAACTATATACACACCCATTTCTCAGTCAGTATCTATACCCGATGTAGGAAAACTAGGTATAAAGGAGAAAATCAGACTCGTTACTCAGAGCTGACAGCTACATGGACTTAGCATAGACACTAAGAATCCTTTCTACACACACAACCACAAAATCTCATAGGCTCGCTTTCTTTGGATGACATTTTTGAAGTCCAGCTGCTCAGAAACCATGAATCACTATCAATTGTGTGCTTGCCGCCTTATGATGACATGGGGCAGGATGAGAAATACAAGATGCTGCCCGGGCAGTTCTTCCATAGATGCTGACAAAAGTTCTGTTACAGGGAACACCCAGAATAAGTAAACGGTCATCAGCGGAACATAAGCCAGCAGGCGTTTGGCTGTTATAGTCCATGGGATTATTTATTTCATTTTTAACAAATTACAAAGAACACAGGCATGGGAATAGTCATGTATTGTCTATCACAAGCTCGTGAAACACTTCTAGCATTGGCCTCTGTGTAAACCTCTGTGAAAGAGGAAAAAGATTGGCCTCTGTTGACCCAGCAAGAGAGAGCCGTAACTGGATGTCATCCCAAGACCACAGAGCATGTGAGAACCAGGCTGTGCTCACAGAGCCCAACTTTTGTACACTGCTTAAAAGAGAAGAAAGAGCTCAGTTACAATGAGAAATGCGTGCGGTGATGCCTTGTCATTACCTAGGGTACCTCAAGGAATGGGTGTAACAGCTCTTCCCAGGGTAGAATTAGAATTCTGACCCTTTACTCTCTGGCCTCTAAACAGAATGAGAACACAGATGTGAGTTTCTGTGGGAGAAGAGGAATTTTCCCTGATTATTGATAAGACAATTTTCTTTGTACAGACTTAGTCACCAGCATCACAGCCACCTCCCCCCACCCCGACTTTCAACCTTAGATCCCTCCAGTAAATGGTTCCCTTTCCTAATCTCAGTGTTCTGCTTGCACTGGCCCTTACTCCACTGGAGTCTGCCATTTCCTGAAAATGAATGCCTTTTCACATCCTGGTGTCTTTTCCATAAGCCACATTCTTCCATTCTCTCCACAACTGTCTTCTTCCAGAGAGAAACTCACATGGTTTTTCCAAACCCTCTGACTAGGTCAAGTCCTTTTCTCCCTCTCTACATGTCTCTGCCATGCTTCATCACAGCAGGGATCATGTGGTCCTGCTCACTGCTGTACTCTGGGCCCAGCACTTGTCATACATGAGAAATAGACAAATAGTTGTTGAATTAAAATATGAATGATTTCATTTTTATTTGGAAATTTACTAACACGTTTCCATGAATTCCCTAAAAATTACACATTAGAACACCTATCCAGTGCCAAACTTGACAGTCACAAGCTCTCAAGAAGCTATTTGTTGAAATAAAACATCTCCACCTCCTGGGAGTGAGACATTATGAAGTGCTCTCATTATTAAAAATAATTCTTAAGCCAGGAGTTGTGGCACATGCCTATGTAGTTGGAGTTTTCTCCAGTCCCGCTCAGACCCAAGTGAACACACAGAGACTTATATTACTTATAAACTGTATGGCCCTGGCAGGCTTCTTGCTAGCTAGATCTTACATCTTAAATTAACCCATTTCTATTAATCTATAAGTTGCCACGTGGCTAATGGCTTACTGGTACTTTACATCTTACTTCTCATAGCAGAGGCTGGCAGCATCTCCTGACTCAGCCTTTCTGTTCCCAGAATTCTCCTCTCTCTTTGTCCTGCCTATACTTCCTGTCTGGCTACTCGCCAATCAGCACTTTATTAACCAATCAGAGCAACACATTCACAGCATACAGATATGCACAGCATGCCTATAATTCCAGAACTTAAGAGACTGAGATGGGAAGATTATCACTGAAGCAGAAGATTGTCCCAAGTTCAAGGTCAGAGATTCCACCTCAAAAGAAAAAAACAGGGTAGTGAGTGACTGAGGAAAGATAGCCAAGGTTGTCATCTTGCGCGCGCGCACACACACACACACACACACACACACACACACACACATCTTTAAATTGCTTGGATTTGATGTGTAGTTATTTAGAAATAAGACAAGCTGGAATATCTAAGAAATAGAAAGGCAAATAAAGAGAAATGCCTTCTCCATCTCTCAGTTTACACTAACTATTCCACAGTGTATTTTGAGGTAAGCCAGCAAGCTGCTGTTCATGTAGCAAAGAACACACTACCATGAAGGGAATCAAAAGCACACCAAGAAGAACTGTTTCCCTGATCCTGCCTGGCATCTGCCCCCAGATCAGCAGTGTGAGGTCTCAAATCCATTTCAAAGTTCTCGGCAGTGCTCGACTCCATCACTCCCACGCACAGTTACTTAAGTCTTAACAAGGACTCTGTCGGCATGGGGCAGTTTTCAGATTCAGAATATAGACTTACTGGTAGTCCAGAAGTGCTTCGCTGGTAGGCAGCTTCGTATCTTTGGGTGGTCCATCTTGCGCATCTTTTTTATTTCCTTTTGCCGAGCTGTCCATGGTTCTGGTTGGCCACTGAGAAATCTACCTGAAGAGCAAACAGTCATAAGAAAAGTGAGTCAGCTCCGTCTTGGCCGCTCTACTTGTGCCAACCCTCAAAAACCACCACTGGGGCTTAAGATGGCAACTCTGTCCTAGGTGCTTCTTGTCCCCAGATCTAGCTCCATCCACGAGGCTGGAGCACCCTCAAGCAGCGTTGCCCATCGTTCTTCCTAATGACCAAAGGCCTGAGTCTCTTGAGCTCTTTATTTCTACACAGTGTTTGGCTATGTGCACTGTGTTTAGCAGCAGCTCAATAAATGTCTATTTTTTAAAAAATCCCACAAAGGGGTTCAAAGAGTGTAAGAGCCTGGGGTCAGGGGAACTGGGACAAAATAGTGTCTTCTGGACAAGGCAGGCCCAAGGCAGGAACCACGGTAGACGTGGATGCCTGCAAAGGTCAAGCTGGCCAGCATTCTAGCATGGGTGGTGTAGATACTCATGACCTCTCACCCCAGCTGAGGAGCTATGGACAGTTAATGCCTGCTAGGGGAGGCTCTCAGGGATGTGCCAGTGATGGCTCTACATGCATGCATATATGGACCACACAAATTGGACTCAGTAGATTATAAGAAAAAAAAGAGAGGACATTGAAATTGGGGGATAGGTGTGGGGGGGCAGGGGTGGACTAGGGAGAAGTTGTGAGTAAAATATGATCAAAACACATTGTATGGACTATATGCAAAGGATACAAAAATATATTTAAGCCGGGCGGTGGTGACGCACGCCTTTAATCCCAGCACTCGGGAGGCAGAGCCAGGCGGATCTCTGTGAGTTCGAGGCCAGTTTGGACTACCAAGTGAGTTTGAGGAAAGGTGCAAAGCTACACAGAGAAACCCTGTCTTGGGGAAAAAAAAAAAAATATATATATATATATATATTTAAAAGAAGGTTTTGTTCTTTTTTAAGAATCAAGATGCAAGGACTTGAAAGAATTGTGTTTGGCCAGGGTTGTCGTCCTACAAATCACAAATAAAAACACACTTTGAAATTTTTTAAATGCCTAAGAGAGTTACAAATGCAAATAACTATAATGATGCTGCTTCATTAACTTTTCATAAGCTATAAATTACCTTTATGTGAAATAATTAAATTATTAATAACATATTTTTCTTTATTTGTTCTCTCATATATTACACCCTAACCACAATTTCCCCTTTCTCCTCTCCTCCCAGTCCCTTCTCTCCTCCAGATCCTCTCCTCCTTCATTTCCCTTCAGAAAACAGCAGGCTTCCCAGGGATATCAACCAAACATGACATAACAAGTTACAGTAAGACTAGGCACCTCCCCTCATATTAAGGCTCGACAAGGCAACCCAGGAGGAAGAAAAGGGTCCCAAAAGCAGGCAAAAGAGTCAGAGACAGTCCCCACTCACACTTTATGTGAAATAATTAAATTATTGATAATGTTTTTAAAAAGGAAAACAAGACCCACTATTGGCCAATGTTGGAATGAAGCAGGATACTTCACAGGCTTGACTTAGGTACCAAAGCACACTTTTTAGAATATAGATTTCCCTACAAGATTTTTTTTTTTTTTTATCTAATTTCCACTGCTCTCCTAAGATCAAGGGTCCATCCTTGTTATCAATGCATTTGTAGTTTGCTATGGTGGGAGACACCATGAGAATTGTCAAGTGACTCTTTACAGTGAGTCTGTGATAACTCTTGGGGATTACTCTTTCTCTCCCATCAACAGACACAACAATTCTCGTTGAATAAATGCTCGGCAGGTGGAACCATCAGGCAGACATATGTTTTAACCCTAGACCCTGTCACCTCCTTTTTGTGTGATCTTCAGAAAGTTGCTATTTCTGCACTTCCGATTCCTCATCTCTCCAGCAGTTGAGAATGATGGCGACCTTATTTTAAGGGCTGTGGGGAGCTAGATAATCAAATATGTAAAGTACTTGCATAGTGTCTCACATATAGGAAACTTAATAAGCCATATGTGTCTCTTCAGTTACAGATATACATTGTCTTTCTTTAAATTGCAGGCAACTAACTGGGCAGCAGAAGGGGGTCTGTGTGCTCTAGATTCCAGTCCACAGGGCTCACCAATGCCTTGGATCACAAATTGGCAGTCTATGTAAATCTTTATGGGTCATCTAGATCTCCGCTCTCTAAAATGGAAACATGCTTTTCTCTATAGACTTGCTGCTCATGACCCAGACTTCCAGCAATACTTCCTTTGTATCTGAGAATTTTCTAGATAAGTATACATCCAAGCAAAAAAGATTTATTAACATAGTGTCCTTTTTTGTTTCTTTTCCTTTTGAGACAAGGTCTCACTCTATAGACTTAGCTAGTCTGGAACCTGTGGGAATTCTCCTGCATCAGCCTCTTGGGTGATGAGATTACAAGTGTGAGCAACACTCATCTTCTTAAATACGGCAATCATTTACAACAATTCAGTAAGCTCCACACCAAAAATTATACCAACATGGTTCACAAAAAAAAATATGAGCTAAGAAAAACCTGTTCTCT